TCCACTGAACTACTTACGCCGCCATCTTGGCTCAGCCCCTGTGTTTAGGTTTTATTGTCATTTTTTTTTCAAAAAGAAAATGGAACAAGCTTTCATGTGTAGATCACTATAAACTTCTTTTCCAGGAAACATTGTATCATGGACTGACTTCCATGTTATATATACATGTATACCTTGTTCATTATAATGACAGCATTGGACTTTCACAGTATAGTCAGACCATAGTTCATTCACCATTTTCTTATTGATGGACACTTAAGTTTTCTCCTTATTTATTGACATTACTCATAATACTGCAGTGAACCATCCTTGTATATATATATACCCTCATCTACTTGTGCACATATTTTTATAGGAAAGGCATCAAGAAGTAAGATGATATTTAAATGATATAAATACTGTTTGTTTTGATAGGATTGCCAAATTGCCATCCAAAAGGCACCAGATTGCCCTCCCACCAGCAAGAATGAGCACGCACTCTTCTCTACATCTTTGCCAATACTGGATAATATTATTTCTTTTTAACGTTCATTTAACTGGTGGGCACAAATGATACCTACTTTTTAATTTATATCTCTGCTCACTAATAAGATCAATCATGACCTTAATGTTTAATATTTTAAAACTTTAATTTTCCTAAATGTCATACATTTTCATTTTTCAAAATTTAAATAGTCCGAAAGGCATACAGTGAAAAGACTTTCACTACTGCCAGAGGCAACCAATGTTCCCCACAAAGATACTCTCTGCACATAACAAGCAAATTCATAGATATTTCTTTTCCTTCTTTCACACAAGTGGTAATACAGTTAGTGTCTCGTTGTCTTTAGGAATCTAATGAAAGCTGAAACCTCTCTGAAATGGATATATGCACCTTCACCCAAATGTTAAATTTCAGGTGTTTTTGTTCCTGTCCCCAATCTCACCCAGGTGAAGCATCCCTGCTCCATAATCCCCTTTGGTTCTTGGGGAGGCCTACCTTTTGTTGGTTCGGTGACTGTTGGTTCTATGTGTCTGTAATTTTGTGAGTCTCCAAATCTATAATTGCCCAAATATAGTTTAAACTGAAGTGTGACCTTCTCTGGGCAATAAGGTTAGCAGCAGTTTTTATCAAATTCAACATGTCCCAGTTTTTATCAAATGCAGCATGTCCCAAACAACTCATTATCTTCTCTCTCTCAAAACCTTACTCATTTATACTCATTTATTCAACAAAAAATTATTGAGCATCAGGATTGACTGTCACGCACTGAGAAGAAAATTATGAAAAGCAACACCTACAACAAAACCCATATCCTTGCTTCTCTAAGGTCTTTTGAGGTGGAGATGGAGTTGGAGTAATTTCAAGTAGCACGTGATGCATGTTACAAAAGAAAGAAAAAGAGCCCAGTGGAACACTTGTACCAGGAGTGGGGCTTAAATGAAGAGCTGACCAGAGGAGGTACAGAGTATATAGAACTGAAAATGGCATCACATTGTGTTGTAAAGCATGAGACACCTCCCTTCACTTCCAGGATGGACTGCTAATGGGCAGAGTATGTGGCAGCAAAATCTACTGGATCCTTTGTCTGGAGTCTCTTGGAATTCACCAAAAGGCTTCTATAATAGATCCTCTTTTTCTTGTGGAGAATCAAGTCTATGAGTTCAAGTAGGGCTTTCCTCACTAGCACACCCCCAAGGGGCGAGTACATGACCCAGAACTGGTGCTGTAATTCCCTGGCTGTTGTGACTGGCTCATGGATGGACACATGACCCAGGCAAGGCCAATCAGGGTCTTCCTTGAGATTTGATATATGAATGCTGTACAAAAGAGTGTGTGCCAGACACTTGATTCCCCAACCCATATCCCCTCAGCTTGTGTTCAAGTCCACATGCAGGAAAGTTCTCATGCATGCTGACAGCTTCCCACTTCTAGTGTTCCATATATTTCTGTGTCCAAGGCTTTCTTCATCACACTGGGAGCTTGTTCAGGGCAGCCCAGAATGCAGATTTAATGTTCCCAGGGACAACCCCCAACCAATGAGGGATGGCATTCAGATATTCTATCTTACAGCAGGTCCTCAGTGGGGTTCAGCCCCAGATGACCACAGTGGTCACAGTGTGCTCATTAAGACACCTTTTTTGGTTTTCTCTTTTCTCTCACTTTGCCACGCCCTCATGTGTACTTCCTGGGATCACCTTACAAATAAGCTTAGTACACCTGAGTCCTTGTCTCTGGGTCTTCTTTTGGGGAAACCCAAATCAAGAGAGAGGTTTTTCTCTTTGGATCACAAACCATCAGAATGTGGCCCAGAACTGTTGCAATGGCCTGCACCCCTTAATGAGCATGTGGAGAGCAGCCCTGAACCCAGCCTGCAACCAGGAGGTGCCTGTCTGAGGCAGACCAGCAGCCTGTAACAGAGCTACCCAGGTAAGCCCACTTTAGCCAGTCTATAGTCCACCTGAAGATTCATGAGCATGAGAACAAATGCTTGCTTGCCACTGAGATTTTTGTGGCACACAGCAAAATGGTTATGCAGTGAAAACTCATTTGGCCAACTTATTTCTCAGTGCCCTGTTTCTGTCCTTCAGAGACAAGGCAATAAAATAGATAGGTGAGAGGCTTAGGATAGGGAAAGAATTGTGAAGTCAGCCTGACAACATTGAATCATTTGGCCTAAGGTATTGGTAGTAAGGATGGGCTCAGAGTTACTAGTTAGAATTTACTAGACAGTCTGATGGGATATAGGGGATGGGACAGAAGGAGAAATCAAGGATGACACTCAAGTTTCCATTCTCTAGGAGGGAAACACAGAGGAGCAGAGTAGACTTTAAAAGCTCATCTTGCACATCCTAGCACATAGTAGGTGCTCAATTAAAATATATTGAATGGATAATTAGATTTAATGGGGAAATGGTGAGTTCAATTTGGCACATGTGAACTCTCCAGGGGCAGATGTCTGGGAGGTAGCAATTGGACAATAAGAAGAGATATTTGAGAGTCATAGGTGTTTTGAAGTCAGGGAAGAGATGAGATCCCCAGGGAGAGGAAAGAGAGGTCTGAGGAGCAAAGAGAGAGCTGCATGAAGCCAAAGTGTGGGTGGGGTGGGATGCCCCTTGGTTTTCTAGAGGCTCTTCACTTCCGGCCCTTGGGTCCCATGAGATACCATGGTATCCTTGGGATAAATTCCTCTTTAGTCTTCATCTTGCTAAGGGTGGTTCCCATTACCTTGCCATCAGAAGAGTCTCACGTAATATACCATCCCTGTTATTCACCCAGTCATCCAAGATTGTCACCTGTGTAGCCATTCATTCAGTCATTCATCAAACACTAAATTAGTTCCCAACTACTGCTGGCCACAATAAGAGTCCATCCCAGATGCTCCTTCCGTTTCCTCATCCCCTCACCCTCTGCCATAGCTCAGGTTTGCCCTGCCTTCTCTCTGATCTCCCAGCCTCCACAGTTACCCTTGCCGATCTGCCCTCCACAGACCAGGAGAGCAGTGTTCCTAAGACACAGCCAGTCATGTAGCTTTACCAGCCTGAAAACCCTCTGAGCCAAACCTGACTGGATGAAACATCTCAAAATACAGAGTGAAAATGCAGAGACAAAAATTATAAAGGAAATGAGAACATATCAACAAAACCTCCCCTCCACACCCTCAGGACAGAGTCCAGCCTCCTCTGCTGGCACTGAAGGTCATCTGGGATCTGGCCCTCCATGACCTCTTCAGCCTCGGGCCCCAGGACCCTCTGCTTGGCTTCTATAATACAGAACAAAGTTCCAGGAGAAGCCGCACTGCTTCTCTCCCTGTGGCTGTACTCACATTGCCATCTGCTGGGGATACCCTTCTCTTGCCACCCACTCTTCAAGGCTAAGCTTAGGAGTCACCTCCTCCAGGAAGCCCTTTTACTCCTCTGGGCTCAGAAATCACCCTGTGTTTTCCTCTGTGCTGTCCTCATCACACTATGCTGCTCTCGTGTGTTTGTCTTCCTTCCTGGCCTGTGAGTTCCTTGAGGACATTTGGGGCATTAATGGTGGAGTTTTAGGAGTCATTAGGAAAAGTTCATGGAATATTCTCTTAGTCTGCTCAGGCTTCTAACAAAATACCATAGAATGGATAACTTATAAACAACAAACATCCAGGCATAACCCATCCTGTGTCCCCAGATCTCAGCCTTGGGCCAGGCACAGGTGAGGTCTCCTGGAACGTTTGCTGAGAGAGTGAGAAGCTTTCCAGGTGCAGCTAACAAAATAGACCACTGGAGAGCAGGTAGATTGATGATTTCGGTGACCAGGGTTGGGGGGGAAATGGGATGGGGCCAGAGTGATGGGCAGGGCATGGGAGGCCAAAAGTGGAGAGACTGGGCAGCCCCTCTTCAGATCCCCGTTGCCCTTCTGTCTTTCCTCTCATCCTGCTCAGGGCACTTCTTATGTGTCAGTTTCCCCTCATCCAGGCCTCTGCAGAACAACCCTCCCCAGGAGTCCCCAAATTTCCCAGTGGCCCCAGTACATCTAAGTGTCCCAAACCTCTCCATCAAAGGTGCTGAATGTTTGCATTCCCCCCAACCCCCCGCCCCAGTTCATAAGTTGAAATCTTAATGCCTGATGTGATGGTGTTAGAAAGTGGGCCTTTGGGAGATGATTAGTTCAGAGGGTGGCACCCCTATGGATAGGAGTACTGATCTTATGAAAGGGACCACTCAAAACTCCCCAGCCCCTTCCACCACATGAGGACACTGAGAAGGTGCCATCTGTGAGCCAGGAAAAGGACCCTCACCAGACCACACTGGCACCCTGATCTCAGACTTCCAGACTCCAAAACTGGGAGAAATAAATGTTTGTTGTTTATAAGTTACCCATTTAGTGGTATTTTGTTAGAAGCCTGAGCAGACTAAGATAGAATATTCCATGAACTTTTCCTAATGACTCCTAAAACTCCACCATTAATGCCCCAAATTTACCCTTAAAAAAAGCTTTTCCTGTCCAGCACCCAGGAGGAGGGTGGTGTGCCCCTTACCTAGGCCTTCTCCAGGGCGGGAAAGCTGGTCTTGGTCTCCTGAGATGGCCACCAGGGGAGGGGAAGGCAGGTTTCTCCTTTATACTGTCAGTCCTCCACCCCTTGTACCCACACAGCTGCTCAGAAATGTGATACTCCCCCATCTATTTCTGGATGTCTCCTAGCCTCAGGGACACCAGCCTCTGCCCAGTCCACCGTGGGCCAGCTCTCTTCCCAGAAAGAAGGGAATCCCTAAGGCTAGAGAGCAGATGGGCTGAGGTACTGGGGATCTGGGCTGGAGCAACTGCCTTCCCACTGGGTTTGGTCCTGTGCTCATAATCCCTGGCTTCAGAGAGTATCTCCTTACATTTTGTTCCTTTCACATGAGGACAGATTCCTGGATGAAGGAGGCTGAGTCTGGGTCCCAAGTCCAGCACTAATTTGCCTTGTGATCCCGGATGACTTCCTGCTTCACTCAGGACCCTGTTCAATGAATTGATTTCACTCAGTTTCTTGGGACCTTTCTTGGGGATCCAGGTCTTAGGATAGGAGAAGAAATTCCCCAAAGCCAGAGGGTAGGGAGAGGACAAAGCCATGATTCCAGTAGAGCTGGTCCCAGGGACTGTCCCAGCAGACTGAGCTGTCCCAGACGGTATCTTCTGTTCCAGCAACTTCAAAGGCTTGGTGCCTTCCAGCGAGAGAGGCGGGCAGGCTACGTAGACAAGATGCTAACAATAAAGATAAAACATAGAGTGACTCCTGATTTTCTAATCTGGAAGAGTTTTGGGGTGGCCAGTTTCATTGGAAGGGGGCAAAAGGGTGCGTCTCGAAGCTGAAGCTGTGTTTGCCTGACAAGCACTCTCATTTTTTGGGTTGCCACTCTTTCCACCTCCCTCCTCCCCCCAAGCTTGGACATAGTTTGTCTTCCTTTTTGGTCTACAGAAAAGATTTTTGGAGAAGGCAGGATTCTAGGTGATTGAAATTATTTGGCTGGCAACCTGAGGGGACAGGGGAACAGGGATGGGCTACATTACTGAGCCAGGCCAGGATGCAGGCCCTGGGGTTAAGCCTAACCTCCTGTGCTGGTAGCAGGCAGCGTCTCTTAAATCCTAGCATTTGGGATCCCCAGCTCTTCTGGCCACTCTATGGGTGCAGGGTAGAGGCAGTAACCCTCCCACCCCCAGAAGCTCAGGCTGCCAGAAGGCTCTTCCCAGAGCTGCTTACTGACTGCTCAACTGGCCCCTTCTCCCATTACCTCTGATTGGGCATCTAAAACTCAGAGCCAGGTTATTTATAGACTGACCCGCAGGAGGGAAAGGCTGGTGTTTATAAACATGGGGTCACCTGAGTCAAAGAGGTCCAGGAGGGGAGGTGGGAGGGGCCGGAGGAGGGGGTGGGGCCAGACCTTGAGGGTGTCAGACTGAGCCCTGCATCTGGTCCAACCCTACTGAAGGGAAAGGAGGTGGGGTGCTGCTCAGATGCTGGACCACCTGTGACCAAATGTATGGGCCATATGCAAATTGCATGCAAATCATGGAGTGCACAAGTGGTGATCTCCTGGCAGGTGGGAACCTCCAGGGGCTTCCTGGCCCATCGGTCTGGGGACAAGCTGGGCAGGGCCCATCTGAGGGAGAGGGCCCACAAGTCCGTTCTCCCAACCCGTCTTGCTCAGAGCCAAAGAGGGTCCTGGAAAGAGAACTCACAGTCCTTGGGAAGGCCCGTGAGCCCCTTAGCCCCGTTCCCCGCTCCTCCCGCTCCTCCCACCCCTGTTGCTGGGGAAGAGAGGTGTCGGGTTACCGCCTTGGGGTCTATAGTTAGCCGCGCGGGACTTTGTTTATCAGCTGGAGTCCGGGCACAGTGCAGCGCGGGCCCTAACCATCGGCACTCCTTCCTGCTTCGGCCTCCCCAACGTCCAGGTGGGTTCCCGGCCAACTCTCCTCTCCAAATTATGGCTCCACCTTTACCATGGCCAAAAAAAAAAAAAAGCCCCCAGGCAGAAGACTTGGGGGCTTGGGGGTGACCGGGAGTCTGGGAAGCAGAGACCTGGGGTTGTCCCGGGGGGGTTGGGGACAGTAAAATGAAAGGACCCGCCCCTTCCCTTAGGCCCGCCCCTGGCCGCGCCCACGCCCCGCCTGGGCCGCGTCCTGGAGCAGGGACCCCTCACACCATAGAAGAAGGGATCCAGGTCCCCGTCCCCCAATCCATCAAAGCCAAGGCTCCACCACCGCTGGCCCCACCCTCACCCGGATCTCATCCTCCTAAGCCTGCCCCAGTGATGATGCTGGAGGCTCTGCTTATCGTTCTCGGCTGCTTCAGGCTCCACACCCTCAGGCAGGTAACTGGGGAAACAGTTGGGGCAGACCCTGAGGTGGACTGTGGGGCTGACTCCTCAAAAATCTCTCCCAGAGACTCTTCTTTAGGATCCCAGTCTTCTTCCTCTTGGGAACCCCCATCCCTGCAGGGAGCCCCAAGTTCCCATGCCCTCTCGCAACACCCACCCTTCACCCACTGGTCCTCCTGTGATCCTCCTTCCTTCACTCAGCCCTGCCTCCACCTTTCTCCCCTCTTCCCATCTCCCCTCCCAGGCTTAGTTTAGGCAAACCCAGTGGGCTACCTGGGTACTGCCCTCCTGCTGCCCCCCACCCCCCGATCAGGGCTTGACCTCCCCACCCCCACCCAGGTTTGGGAACACAGACTTGTAAAGCAGGAGAGGACTTAGGAGTCTCAGAGCTGACCATGACTTGGTGTGGTGGCTGAGCACCTGGGTAAGAGGGAAAGATTGTTTGAGGGTGGGGATGGGGTCAGGTCACTGGACACAGGCTGTACATTTGCTGCATACTGAGTCTTAGAGCCAGAACAGTGCCTGCAAGTTATCTAGCCCCACTTCCCACCAAGTGCAGGGAACTCTTTGCTGACAAAATGACCCTTTTTAGGTTATACAGAAATGAAGATCTATATACTATCCTCACAATAACCCTGTGAGGTTGGAAGTATCCTCAGTCTATAGGTGGAGAATCTGAAACCCAGAAAAGTTAAGAGACTTGCCAAGATCCCTCAGCTACTGGGTGGTGGGGTCAGGATTTGAACCCATGTCTGTCTGACTCCAATGCCTGTGTTATTTAAGTCCTTGAGCTCTTGCCCAGATTGCATATACCAGATGGAAGTGAGATTCTGTTTCTAAACTGAGTTGCCACCAGGACCCCTGAACTTCCACTCTTTGCTGTTGGCTTCTCTCTTCCTTACTTCCACAGGCCCAGGCTATTCCCATTCTGCCCCTGAGCCTGGCTCCAGACACCTTCGATGATGCCTATGTGGGCTGTTCAGGAGAGATGGAGGAGAAGGCAGCCCCTCTGCTAAAGGAGGAGATGGCCCGCCATGTCCTGCTGCGGGAGTCCTGGGAGGCAGCCCAGGAGGCCTGGGAGCACAGGCATAGAGGGCTCACCCTGCCCCCTGGCTTCCAAGCCCATCACGGAATCGCCATCATGGTCTACACCAACTCATCTAACACTGTGTACTGGGAGCTGAACCAGGCTGTGCGGTCTGGCGGTGGCTCCCGGGAGTTCTACATGAGGCACTTCCCTTTCAAGGCCCTGCATTTCTACCTGACCCGGGCCCTGCAGCTGCTGCAGGGAGGCTGCAGCAGGGGACCTGGGGAGGTGGTGTTCCGAGGTGTGGGCACCCTTCACTTTGAACCCAAGAGGCTGGGGGATTCTGTCCGCTTGGGCCAGTTCGCCTCCAGCTCCCTGGATGAGGCAGTGGCCCGCAGATTCGGTAATGCCACCTTCTTCTCCCTAAGGACTTGCTTTGGGGCCCCTATCCAGGCCCTGTCTGTGTTTCCTGAGGAGCGTGAGGTGCTGATCCCTCCCCATGAAGTCTTCTTGGTCACCAAGTTCTCCCAGGATGGAGCCCAGAACCTAGTGACTCTCTGGAGCTATAACCAGACATGCAGCCACTTTAACTGCGCCTATCTGGGTGGTGAGCTGTGCATGAGCATAACAGATTGGGCACGGTGGTTGAAATAAGCCAGAATGTCCCTCTACAATCTGCTGGGTGTTCAGGAGATCCACTTGGTTAATAGGGAGGATGAAGACTAGAAGTCAGGTGGAGTTGTTTTCTGTGACTCAGTTTCTGCCAGTTCTTTGAAGGTCCTATAAGTGTTTTCCACATCTTTGAATATTCTCAGATAATTCTGTAAATGTTCTCAAAAGCTTCCATCTGCTTTCCAGGCTGATAGACCAAAAGAATCTGGTTAAGGGATTAATAAACAGAAAAGTAACAGAAGTGCTGCTTCAGACCTCAGGAGCCCTGGGCTTAATGGGGTTGACTGGACACCTGTGTGCTGTTCCCAGAGCTGAGGCAGGGACAGAATGCAGTGATTGGGGCCAGGGTGGGAGCAGAGATGGATAGGCAATCTGGGGTGACTTCCTGGGGGAAGGACGAGGAAGAGAAGTCAGAAGTTTGCATTTAGGAGAAAGGCAAGATGGATTGAGAATGGGAATGGCCTGAGAAGGGAAGTTTGGGGTGTAGGGTCTGTCTACATGGAGGCCTCACCCTGCCATCTGTTGCAGGGGAGAAGAGGCAGGGCTGCATATCTGTACCAAGTGAGTATCCTCCTACCCCCTTCCCCACTTCAGTGGCTTCCCCTCACCCTGACTCTGCTGAACCTTCACCTTCTTTTCTTTCTCACCAGGAGGGCAGCTAGATTCATTCTCCACAGGTGCCTTCTCTCTGCATTCCTGGAAGATCCCGCTCTTGGCCCCTGGTGGGTTCCACCTCTCAAGGGCTGAGCCCTGAAAGTCCAATGCCTGCCACTTAGGACTCTTGGGAACTGGTGACACATAGGAAGAAAGGGGGCTTCAAACAGCCTTGAGGAGCAAGAATGTGGTTTCAAACCCAGCCCTAGAAGCCATCTCCCCAGCCAGGGTATGGGGGGATCTGAGGCATGGCAGGGTGGAGGGACCCCTGCTGTGTGATGGGGACTCTCTGGGACAAGCAAGGGCAGTACTGTGATGGCCACTTGATTAAACAGGGTTGCAGTGTGGTGATGTCGAATTTCATGATTGGTTTATTTCATGAGACTAGACAGTCTGCCCTTTTTTCACCTTGCAGGACTTGGGAAATGAGACTAAAAAGAATGGCTTCTTGATCACCCCTAGAAATGGTCTCCTGTGTAGATCCCTGTCACACACCATAACTTGTAAACCCAGAAGCTTTAATGCCAAAGGTTCCTCACAGCCCTGAAGGCAGGAAGGAGGACAGGGGGGCTCCTCAGCCCATTTGGCAGATGAAGAATGCAAAGCCAAGGGAGGAAGTGACTCGCTCAAAGCCACAGAGTGAACACTGCAACCAGGCCCCCTGCCTCCCGGTCCAGAACCTTTCCACTACAGATTTGAAGCAACACAAAGTAGGATCCTATCCTGAGATAGCTGGGACCCCCAGAGCAGGCCATTTCCGCTCTGCTCTGCTCCCAGAAAGGCTCATTTTTGGCACGGGATGGTAGATTTCAAAACATTTAAAGACAGAGAGTCTCACACCCTTTAGAGGCATCTGACGTCCAGAACAGAGATTTTATTGAGGCAAGGAAAGCAGCATAGGCTCCTTACAAAGTGACCTCCCGCTCACCTGTCTGTCCTGCTTTGCTCAGTAGCGGAAGAAGGGACTCTCCCACTGCATCAGGACTCCCCTTTGGATCCCAAATCTTCCCCCTGGGGCAGGTCCTCAGCCCCTTGTGATTCTTGCTCCCTGTGCACTAACACATGAGCTAGGGAGGAAGGGCCAGGCTCTCCAGAAGAAGCTGGAGTCCCAGCCACACCAGCATCTTGAAGCCCAAATTCTGAAGACTCCTGGGTCCCCACAGTCCCTGGCCCCATCAGCTCTGGGATCTCGGGGATCGGGGGCCCTAGCCTCTGGAAGCTATTGCGTACCCGGGTGATGTAGCGACTGAGGACGCTGGCACCGTCGGGGGGCCGGAGTGTCCCTCCCTCCGCCATAATCCACCGCACACCTGCTACTTCACTTTGCAGTCGAGATACGGTCTTGGTCAGCTCTGTCAGTCTGTTTCCCAAGTCTGGGGGTGGGGTATCAATAGGGAGATTGCTCAGATGATGAGTCTGCCCCTACCGCTTCCACCCTCAACAGAACCCCAGGGAACACAGTGCCAGAGGGTCCTGGGAGAGAAGAACTGGAGGAAGTGAGAGACGTGCTTGTGGGCTGGGGCTTCAGGTCAGCAGGCAGAGGCTGTGGTGAATGCTTCGCAGGGGTGGGGTAGTAGTGAGCTTAGAAGATAGAAAGAAGGGAAGTCCTGTGGGCCAGAGGAGGGATCAGGAGTCACAGAGGGCTGGGAAAGTTTTGAATGGGTAGAGATTTGTAACTCCACCTGTGCCAGCCCTATTCCCAATCTACCTATCCTCAGGGCAGCTTGTTCCCATCGTCAGAGCCCAGTTCAAATTCCACCTCCTCTTTCGCCAACTTCTGGTACCCTATCCTGCCCTCTCATGAACTACTCAAAATGATAGGTTCTTTCTCTCCTTTGGGCTTCCAATGCAATTCATGTCTCTTAACTAAATGCTTTCGCCCAGTAAGATGGTTTCTCTTCCTCTCCAGACTGAAAGCTTCCCACATGTCCCTGCTCTACACAGTGCCCACCTCTTGCCAAGAGGGCCCAGAACAAAGGGGATGTAGCAATGAATGATGGGTGGGTGAGTGAGTAAGATAAGAGAATAAATGAATGCACAAGTGAAAGCAGGGATGAAGGATTAAATGAAATGAATAGACTCAATGTCTGAGTGCAGGTTATGGCTCCCAAAGGCAGGGTAGGATGTGGTGCAGACCACTGTAGGCTGGGTGAGGGGTGTGAGCCTGGGTGTGCTGCATGTAGGTTGACTGAGCAAGGAACAGCACCGGGAAAGGCCTGGAGGTGTGACGAACCTTTGCGACGGGTCTCTTCAAACTCCCGCCGGGCGGTCTCTATATAGCGCTGCACCAGGGCCTTGATGACACGAAGGCGATAGGATCCTCGTTCTCTCTCCCCGGGTCCTGTCCCTGCACCAGGATTGGCCTGGAATGGGAAGACAGGAGGGTGAGAGAGACTTTCCATCCCAAGTCTTTCTCGAATCACTGTTCCCTCCCCAAGGCAATAAAGGGCCAGGCAGTCTGTGCTACTTTTCTGTTCCTGAAGGCCACACATCTAGACCCTGGTGCAGTCCTGGAAGGTAGAGGGATGGAGGCAGAAGTTGAGCAATGGAAGCTGAGCAATGGCCCAGTGTAAGAGAACCATGAGCCTGGGGAGGGGAAGGGAAGGGGAGTGGGCAGAGACAGAAATTTTGAGCTCTCTCCTGCCACCAAACCAGCTTTGGTTTTCTTGAGTTTAGGTGATCCAGATTAATCTTGCCCTTCAAATCCTGCAGAGGAGGAGACTAGGGGACGTGGTGAGGCATCTGCACAACCTGCTCTTGGATGCAAGATGGAAATTACCATGCAAATTAGAATGACTGGTTTTGGGTCCAGTTTTAGGCCTTAGGACAGTTTCAGGAGGGCAAGTAGGGTGCATGGGGCAGACAATGGACAGGGAACAAAGATGTAGTAGGCAAAGTACTAGACTTAGAAGACATAGGATCAAATCCCAGTTCAGCCATTTATCAGCCGTGTGCCTCAGGCAACTTATTCAACTTCCTCAGGCCTGAGCATCTTCAAATTTAAAATGGAGATGCCTATTTCCCAGGCTAGTACTTCCTTCCTGGCACAGAGCAGGTACTCTCTAAATGCTTAGGAAATAATTGTTTTTATTTATCTAGTTTTATTCTTCTCTCTAAATATTTTATAGTTAACATATTTACTTTTATAATGCAAAATACCAAATAATTTTATTAAATATCTTAAAGGGAGAAACAGGAATGACAAAGATGGGGCAGGCAAAAGTATGAGAGAGAATGATGGGCCCTTTTCGTCTACAGAGTATATAAGGTACTTTTCTTATTTAAAATAAGGAATAAGAACTTTGGGAGGCCATTTCCTGAGGATGCAGGATAGGTGGGAGGGGACACCTGATTGGATCACCAGTGAGCAGGCTGGCCAGGTGGGGGCAGCTGGATGAAGGTTAGGACCTCAGGGGGCATGCAAAGGAGGGCTGGGGAGACCCAGGTTGGTACAGGGGTATCTGCTGGGATGCAGTGACTGTTCAGCGGGACTGGGCATAGAGGGCTGAACACAATCTCTGGTGAAGAGACGAGTCTCACCCGACGATGCAAGAATCCCTGAAATGTGGTCTGCAAATGTGCCATCAGGCAGCCCCGAGAGGGGAAGGAAGTAGCCAGGGAGGAAGGGTGATAATCCCAGAATCTGGAGTCAAAGATCCATCAGGGTGAAAGAGGTGTCCAGGCAGGATAGCCAGGAGACAGGATGTGGTGGAAACTGGGAACCTTGGGCACTTAGTTTCTTGTAAATGTCGTGTTTTCCCTGTGCCTTTCCACATGTGGCTTCTTGTGCCTGGAATGCCTTTCCCCACCACGTCTGCCTACCAACCTCTGTTTATCCTTCAGGATTCTGATCTGCCTCAAGGTCTGGGAGGCTCCCTGGTTCCTGAGGCTGGGTCTGGTCCTCTGTGCCCTAATAGCTCCGTGTACTTCTCCTACCATAGGCTTGTTGTCTGATACAATTAAGTCTGTTCCCTTCTGCTGCTCTAGACTGTCAACCTCTCAAGGGACCACTGTTAGCCACATTTTTTTTCCCAGTGTAGGTGTGCTTTGGTAAGTGTTTGTTGAACAAACTATTGACCAGTTAGATAAGGGAAGGCCATCCTCCCCTGGGGGTCCAGGGACCTCAGAGCTCCAGAGCTGGCCTGTGGCCCCTGTAAAGCCGGCCTGGAGGCCTGGCTTAGAGAGATCCTCAGGTAACAAGTTTTAAGGGGAGCAGATAGAACCCCCTACAGACCTGACAGTAACAGTGGTTTGAATCAGGAAGGGGCTCTCACGCCATGTCAGATGGGTTAGGGAGCAGAACGGGAGGTAAGTGAGCTGTCTGGATCTTTTTTTGTTTTTTTTTGGATGGCAAGAAGATTGTGTAATAATAATAATAACACACTACTGAAAAGGATTGCTTGGGGGTGTTGGGGTTTCTTGATTTTGCCATGCTTTGGTGGCGGCTCAAGTGACTGCTTAAGGCTGCTAGTAGGTCTGAGATGAACAGGGTGTTAGGGCCTTGGGAGGAGGGTAGCATGGATTTCTGTTTAAGCCAGGATATACAATCAGGGTTGGAAGTTTAGGAAATGGCCAGGGCCAGCAAGAGGGAAAGGCAGACAGGTGAGAGTGGGAACTGTGAACAGGCTCCCTGGGGAACATGCCCTGAAAAACAGACAAACCAGGGTGTGCAGGCAAATGGGCAGTATGGATGACACGGCTGGAGCCCTGATGGGAGGACCGTCAAGCAGAGGGGGCACTCACGAAGGTGGAGGCTGGCCTGCAATCCGGCTGCTTGGCTTTGCAGGAGCAGCAACAGCACATGATCCAGAAAATTCTCCTGAGGGACAGATGGTACAGAAGGCCAGTCAGAGGGCAAGGCCTGGCTGTGGGGCGGGAGCTGGGGAGGGCGCCGGGAGTGGGAGCTTGGGAGTCATCACCTGAGGAGGTAGAAGGTGGCCTTGGGGGAGGGCAGGATGTTGAAAGGTACCGGCAGTGTCAGGCCCTCTCGGAAGTAGGACAGGTAGAGCTTGGAGCGAGCAAACTTCCACTCCACGTCGGCGTCGTCCTGGAAGCCAGGGACAGGGGGCTCCGCAAGGACTCCTCGGGCACCTCACCCCCCTGCCCACTCACTCAGCCTCTTTTCTGCCACTCGTTGTGTCTCCCCTCCAGTGTGCCAGCTGCTTTCTTCTCCCCATTCTGACCTCCTTCCACCCACATGTTCCCTGCCTGTCTCCCCCTTGTCTCTTCTCTCCATCACCTCTCATTCTTCTGACATCCGGTTCCTGCCCAGCCAATCGTCCAGCCACAAGCCCCAATGCAGACATCTCCTCCCCTCTGCCTCCTCATGTTCCCCCTCACTTTTCCACAGT